AGGCGTGGAAATAGCAATTTGCGCGATCGAAAGCTTCTTCTGTAATCGCGGTCGAGGGGGTGAAATTGAAGATGTCACCTGCTCACAGACTGTAGCTGAGTGAGGTCTTGAAAGCACGGGCCTGTCCCAAGATAGCGGGTGTTTCTCCAACATGCTCGATAGGGATCTTTCGGCCATCTTGACTGCGTGCCTGGTTCGAGCAAAAGGCTTCTTTCAGGCTTCAGAGCTTGGGGCTAGCTTGCCGTCTGTGAGCGCTGTGTGGTACAATGGCTGATGTTGAGGAAGACTTGCAGAGATGGGATAACGGCCACAGGAGGGTCAAGTCTAAACAAACGCGAATACAATCAACAAGGAAGGCGCGTTGTCGATGCGTCAGGGCGCAGTGAATGAGTGAAGTCCAGTATTCGCGCGTAGACAGTTATGACAACGAGCCCCTGACCTCTGGCAATCGGGGGATTCACAATGAGAAGCGCCGCGCCGTCCAGTTGCACTGGGCAGAGCTCGAGCCACTTCGAAGATAAAAATAGAGAATGAGAGAGAGAACACTTGGCCTGCTCAGATCTGTACACTATACTAAGGTATCTCGGATCTTCGTGCTTCTGATGAGGGTCTGAGGCCGGGTATGTGGGGCCGTGCTGTGGCCGTGATAGCAGGCTTGCTGCCCCGAGCAGTGGATCCCGAGCCGGAGGAGGAGAGTCTGTCGCGGCTGAATTGATCCTGCCTTACCTGACAGAAGGTACCTCTGTACTTGTCTCAATAACACCCGATTATGGAAAATTGCCATCTATTTCCCCGAACTCAATCTTGAATATCCCATCATCTCGGCGACTGGAACAGATTTGGCCAAAATGTGTGTCTCGCACCATTCAGCTTCGTCGAGGGCCGACATTGCCGTCAAGGGCACGAGGACGAAAGCACTTCCATAAAAGGGTTCCCTTTTCTGATCAGTTCGTCACCTCTTACGATCCTGAGCTCAGGAAGTAGTAGGTGTAAGGTCGGAAACATGGAATCTTTGAGCGCACGAGGCTGACAAACACACACATACCTCCTTGGTCTTGCAAAAAACATCGACGAAGACGTGAACAAGACAGAAAAACGAAAGATTCCCACGAGGGCCAAGATGCGACAAACTGCGCTTCTTTCTCCCTGAGACCAACCAAACTCCGATGCTCTTCTGCTCTGGTCTACTCCTTTACAACCGAAGGTCACGTATGTACTATGTGCCAAACAAACGCCGTTTCGTAGCTCGTCGCCACTGTCGCACCGGCGGAGATCACCACCTCGTATCGCGCAGCGGTGACTGATCTGTTGCGAGAGGATACAATGCCACCAGGCCATTATGCCCTGCCCACAGCAACGATGGACGGGTCGCTGAACCAGTAGTCACTTTGATCCGAATCTCGGACCATTTCCTGCGCACCGCCGGCTGTTCGGCACCATGGCCAGGCCTCGACCCCTCACTCCCATCCACAAAATGGCTGCCCTGTTTCTGGCGGACCTTTAACCTTAACCCCGCTGCCAAAACCTGGGGTCGGAGTCGCGTCCTGTGAACTGCTTGCGCTTCGCCTTGGAGACGAAAGTTCACTCGAGTCTCGCTTGTCAATCAGATCAGTTCGCTTCGGCTTATTGAATGGTAGCCAAGGTGGGTCGGTTTGAAGAGGCTCAACCGCGGAAAGCGAACGACATCTTCGAGCCCAGAAGCGGGCCCCTTGTCGTGTACGCCCTTCGTTGGGGTCATTCCCCAAGATGAACAAGCGCCTTTCACCTGCAGTGCAGCCTGCAGGGAATTATTCACAAGCGAAAAGGGGGATAGAAATTGGGGCCAAGGTGGCCTGGGACGGGAAGTCGGCGCATACGCACACCGATGCCAACCATCTTTCGTCCCTTTACACCCTGGTTTGTCTGCCCCTGGCCTGCTCAGCGACCTATCAACATCCCCTCATGTGTCACTCGCGTGGTGTCGGTCATTTTAGTCCATCGGCCGAGTGGCCGATCCTTCGGGAGTGTCCCGTTACGATGCTGGCTGAAAGTTCCATTAAATGGACTGACGGCACGCCACCACCGAACACAAAAAAAAAACGCGTGGGGAAATGATCCAGAACATTTGCTTCACTGCTTTATTCCCCATGTCGCTTTTTGTCTATTCTGCCCCTGGCGCATGGTGTGAACGACATCTTTCCTCAAGCATTGCGACGAACGTTTCCATTGATTGCATTCAGTTCATCTTACACTGACTGACTGGCATTTTGACGAACTACTTCACCTCTCCATATTTTCCCGTCCAAATTGGCCTTCGTCGTCTGCTTAGCATACCCCCACGCAACGCCTGCCGAGGCTCGTTGAAACCAGCGAACATCCACTTATGCGACACTCCTGTCCATAGAATTGCAGGACCACAGATCTGCCTGTGAGTTGCATGTCTCTGGTTGCATGCCGCTTTGCTTTAGACTCCAGGCTCACAGGCCAGAGTGGCAGTGGTGCACCTGTGATTTGTGCTAAACCAATCCAGGTACCTCGCCGGAGTCCCTGGAACCCCTGGAACCCCTGCCCATGGCGTCCGGCGCCCCCTCAAGCACGATGCCACCACCGGAATACGCCCGGCAGCCAGTCTCAGGTCCTGAGCTGTCTGGTGACGACAGGACGCTGCCAGGCTCTAATAATACAGATGACAGGCCTCATACAGCAGACCGCAAATCAATCGAAAACCAGGAGACAACGCAGAGGGGGGTTTACGAGAGTGACACAGCCCTGGCTCTCGTGCCCAGTTACAGTCGCAGCCACGTCGCAGAAGATCCGGAAAGG